CGATCCCAGGACCCTGGGATCATGACCTGAGCCGAAGGAAGACACTTAATGACTGAGCCACCCAGGCGCCCCTTGTGTAGACTTTTTAAAGGTGTTTGGTACAAGGGGTGCTTGGGTGGATCAGTCGGTTAAGTGTCTTATCTCTTGATTTCGGTTCAGGTCATGATCTCAGGGTGGTGAGATCCAGCCCCGTGTCGGGCTCTGCATTTGGTGTGGAGCCTGCTTAAGATTCTTTCTCTCCCTATCTCTTTGCCCCTCCCCACCATCTCTCAAAAAAAAAAAGGTACGGGGAAAAAAGGTGTTTGATACATAAACTGGAAAGATCATACTAATTTACCTTCCTCTGGATAATACAAAAGAGTACCTGTTCCCCTCAATCCTTACGAGCACCATACGAAGTTACGTATTCTGCGCATTTTTTTGAGCATCGTCCGTGTGCCAGGCACTGTACAATAGTGAGCCGTAGACCCTGCCTTCATGAAGCTAGCAGTCTCCTGTTAACATTTTAACTTTTACCAGTTTCATTGGTAAATAATGATACTGTGTTTTAGCCTGCATTTTTAATTTTTTTTCCATATTTGCTGGCTCCAGGATTTCTTTTACACAGTGTTTATATCCTTTGCTTATTATCCTATTGATTTATAAGTCATCTTTATGTTAATGTTGCATAGAGTTAGGACACTACCTTTGTGTGTCACAGATGACTTTTTCCTTCCAGTCTATCATTGACTTACTATATTCCTAAGTAAATAATTTATAATAAACAAGTCTTCCAGTCTTTCCTTGTATTTTAGTTGTCATGTCCTTCCCCTTACCTATTTTTTTCATATAGTACTCTGGGTGTTTTTTACATTTACATTTTATAACTCAACTAGAATTTGAGAGTAAGCTATAAGGTAGGGATTTAACTTGATTGTTTTTTCTCCAAACTTAGCCAGTTATTATTAGTAGCTTATATTTAATAGTCTGTGTTTTCTGCACTGCTGAAATACACTTTTATTATTTCTTTTTTTCTTTTTAAGAATTTTTATTTATTTATTTAAAAGAGAGAGGGAGAGAACTAGTGAGAGCATGGGCAGAGGGGAGGGTTGGAGGGAGAGGGAGAAGCAGACTCCCCGCTGAGCAGGGAGCCTGACATGGGGCTCTATCCCAGGACCCCGGGATCATGACCTGAGCCGAAGGCAGATACTTAACTGACTGAGCCACCCAGGCACCCCCACTTTTATTATTTCTTATGTAGACGTAGGTTTGTTTATGGACTTTTCTGTTTTCCATTTATCTGGCTGTCTGTCCCTGTGCTCCTGGTCCTAGCTTTTGGTGGTACTAGTCCCATTTTCTTAGTTTTTTTCCTATACTTAATCTTCCAGATGGATTTTAGAATCATTTTTTAATGGTTTCCAAAAAATTCCACTGTGTGGTTAATTTAAAAAGCTCTACATTTAAAAATTGTGTAAGGAACATGGTATGATGTGTTGCATTTTAGGTATATGTGGGATATTCATTTGAAGATGTCCTGTGGACATTGGCACATATGGGTGTGAAGCTCAGGGCCAGGAGTGGCGATGAGATACAAAGATTTGAGATACTTGGGCTTTTCAGCAATATTCAAACCCTGTGACCAGGTGAGCTTGCTCGGGGGGATTTAGATGGAGGCTGAGGATAGGACTCTGAAATGGCATTTAAGAGGTAGGTGGAGGGTGAAGAACTCAAAAAGAAATAGGATGTTGGAAGAGACCATAGGGTAAGTGGGAAAGGCATGGGTTTTGACATAATCAGACCAGCTCTGCATTTACTAACTATGTGACATTAACTTTTCTAAACCTTCATTTCTTCATCTTTGGAATGGGAATAATACGGCTATTTTATTTTATGTTACTTTATTTTTAAAAGATTTTATTGACTCGTTTATTTGAGAGAGAGTTTGTGCACATGAGCAGGGGGAGGAGCAGAGGGAGAGGGACAAGCAGACTCCGCACTGAGTGTGGAGCATGCCACGGGGCTTGATCTCATGACCCCAAGATCATGACCTGAGCTGGAACCAAGACTCGGACATCTAAGCGACTGAGCCACCCAGGTGCCCCAATATGGTCTATTTTATAACATTGTTTAGAATATAAAGTAATAATGGGGCGCCTGGGTGGCTCAGTCGTTAAGCGTCTGCCTTCGGCTCAGGTCATGATCCTGGGGTCCTGGGATCGAGCCCTGCATCAGGCTCCCTGCTCGGTGGGAAGCCTGCTTCTCCCTCTCCCACTCCCCCTGCTTGTGTTCCAGCTCTCGCTATCTCTCTCTTTTTCTGTCAAATAAATAAATAATCTTTAAAAAAAAAAAAAGGAATATAAAGTAATAGGGAAGCAATAAGGTCTGTTAGTTGAGATACAGTAGGCATTTTGGAATCAACTGGGTTGGGATCCTTGCTTTACTATTTATTGGGTGCATAGCCTCAGGACACATTTCAGCTATTCGCACTTTCCAAATGGGTTATGATAATAATACTTATTTCATAAAAATATTTCAAGATTTAAATGAGATAATGGAAGTAACATGCTTAGCCTGAGGCATAGTCGGGACTCAGTCAGTGTTTGCATTCATACATGTAAAGCTTCTAACACACAAGCCCAGCACACAGGTACTCAGTATTACTTAAGGCCTCTTTTTTTTTTTTTTTTTTTAAAGAGAGAGAGATTGGGGGGGTGGGGGTTGGGAGGAGGGAGAGAGAAAAATCCCAAGCAGGCTCTACGCCTGGGCTTGATCTCATGACCTCAAGATCATGACCTGAGCTGAAATCAAAAGTTGGACACTTAACTGACTGAGCCACCCAGGTGCCCCAGATAAGGCCTCCTTTTGGGAGCTTCTGAATAGGACCTGCACCCTTCACAGAAGGCACAACAGAAGAAGGACTAAGAAGAATGAGAACGCACATTGGTACGGATATTTGGTGCAGGATCTGATTAGGTTAGAGAGGCATTAATGAAATCCAGCTTGGCTTAAGGTATTTATCCCAAGCTCCTGGTAAAGGGAACTATTTAGGATGAATAATTATATTTTTCCCTCTTCCTCTAGGCACACACAGAGCAGCCCAAGCTGAGTAGAGATGAGCAGCGGAATCGAGGTGCCCTCTTACAGGACATCTGCAAAGGGACCAAGCTGAAGAAGGTGACCAACATTAGTGATCGGAGTGCTCCCATCCTTGAGAGTGAGTCTAATAATCTTCATTTCCTAGTGAGCCACCAGGATCCCAGGATTGACTTGGAGACTTGGCTGTCATTTTTATTGTTGGGAACATTTTGTCCTTTAGGAGAGTTTTCTTTGAATGTTCTTTGGCTGTCTTCACATCTTTTTATTTGAATACCTTAGAAGTTTCTTTTTGACCTTTGGGAAGTATTCTCTGGGGAAAGACTCCCATCTCCTACGGTAACTAGTGCTCTCGTTAGGGCACATCCTTGGCTGTTCTCTGAGGAGACCATCGTGTCACTAAAAACCGCTAAGCTGAAGCTAGTGAAGATTTTATAATTGCCACAAGTGTCCATTCTGATAGGCCTCTGGAGAGTTTGCTCACACCTGGATCCCTAAGTCCCTGGCCCCCTTACCATATGGGACTTGGAGAGGAGAGCCCAGAGAAGTGCTGAAAGTGTCTTGATCCTGGTTTTCTCTTCGCCTTTCCTAAACGAGGGAAGTTTGGCTCCTTGTTCCTTATGTTCTTTCTCTTTCATCACAGTGAAGAGTTTCATCTCTACCTGAAGGTGTGGAGCTGAGAGGCCTAGCCTTTTTTTTTTTTTTTTTTAAATGCAAAAGCAGGGTCGCTTTGTTTGCAAATTAAAGCCTAAATAGAGGAGGGGTTTCTACTCAGGATTGACTTGCTCACCAGCTCCCAGCATGTGAAGTGAAAACCCTAATGGTATGCTTTCCAGAACCAAAAGGAAGCAGTGGTGCTTATGGCTCTGGAGCAGCTGCCCTGCAGCCCAAGGGAGGTCTCTTCCAAGGGGGAGTGCCGAAGCTCCGACCTGTGGGAGCCAAGGACGTTTCAGGTATCTGATCAGTACTTTCTTAGGGTATTTCCCAAGTGCGTTAATTTCTGACTAGTCCCAAGTGGGTCATCTAGGGTTCAGGTGTGTGGTAGAGGTGGGAGGAAGGAGAAGTGGGAGCAGGGGAGGAGTTACAGAGCAGAATAAAGCCAAAGCTGAGGGATTAAGTAAAAATGTGTTCAACTTGTATCAGCAGTATTTGTCAGTGAGCCCTGAGCCTGAAACCAGATTAAAATCCAGAACTATACAGGTATTTAACCTGCTACCGTGCAGGTTACACTAAGGAGGCTGGGTGAAGCAGAGATACTGACTAACACGTATCTAGCTGTGTTGATCACATGCTACCTGGTGTATTTGTAGAGAACCTAGCTGGTAAGCCAGCCCTACAAGTCCCCAGTTCTCGAGCTGCTGCCCCAAGGCCACCGGTGTCTACAGCCAGTGGGCGCCCTCAAGATGATACAGACGGCAGCCGAGCCTCACTCCCAGAACTGCCCCGGATGCAGAGACCCTCGTTACCGGACCTCTCTCGGCCTAATACCACCAGCAGTACAGGCATGAAGCACAGCTCCTCTGCCCCTCCTCCGCCACCCCCGGGGCGGCGTGCCAACGCACCCCCGACGCCTCTGCCCATGCACAGCAGCAAAGCCCCTGCCTACAACAGAGAGAAACCCTTGCCGCCCACACCTGGACAGAGGCTGCACCCTGGTCGGGAGGGACCTCCTGCTCCACCCCCAGTGAAACCACCCCCTTCCCCTGGGAATATCAGAACGGGACCAAGTGGCCAGTCTCTGGCTCCTCCTCCTCCGCCTTACCGCCAGCCTCCTGGGGTCCCCAATGGACCCTCCAGTCCTACTAATGAGTCAGCCCCTGAGCTGCCACAGAGACACAATTCTTTGCATAGGAAGACATCGGGGCCTGTCAGAGGCCTAGCGCCTCCTCCACCCACCTCAGCCTCCCCGTCGCTACAGAGTAATAGACCACCTCCCCCAGCCCGGGACCCTCCCAGTCGGGGAGCAGGTAAGTGCCTGGAAGCACCTTTTCTTCCTATCAGACGGAGAATTGTGTTTCTCTTCTCACCCTTTTCTCCAAAGCTCTCCTTCAGCGATTGAAGAGAAAAAAGAATTCACTTACTCATTCAACAGGTTTACTGAGTGCTTTTTTGTGTGTAAGACTGCTTTTAGCGAAACAGCAATTAATAGAAAAGACAGAAGATTCCTGTTCTCTGTGGACAGTCAAGCAAATAAACTAGTAAAAAAAAAAAAATTTAAAAAATACATACATATATATAAAGACACAGTATGTAGATGCTTTAGAGAAATACAAAGCAGAGAAGGGGAATAAGATATACTGAGGTGGAGGGTGATGGTGATATTTTTTATTGCAGAGGTGGGTGAGAGTAGGGTTAGGGAAGGCCTTACTGATAGAGTAACGATCTGGCAAAGACCTGAAGAGAGTGATGGAGTAAGCTAAGCAGTTATCTGGGAGAACAGCTATTGCAGGCATTGGGAACAGCAAATACAAAGGCCCTGAGACTGGGGACAGCGGGGAGGCCATTGTGGCAGGACTGGAATGAGTGAGCGGGGAAGAGTGGCGGGACATGGAGGTCAGGAAGCTAGATTTCCACAGGAGAATGCTGTAGGACTTTGTCAAGACTGGGATTTACTCGGTGAAATGCTGAGCCACTGGAGGCCGTTGGAACAGAGGAGAAACATTGCTTTAGCTTTTATTTTTTATTTTTTAAAGATTATTTGATAGCAAGAAAGGGAACATAAGCAAGGGGGAGTGGGAGAGGGAGAAGCAGGCCTCCCGCTGAGCAGGGAGTCAGATGCGGGGCTCGATCCCAGGACCCTGAGATCATGAGGGATAATGACCTGAGCCGAAGGCAGACGCCCAATGACTGAGTCACCCAGGCGCCCCTGCTTTAGCTTTTAAAAGGATGACAAACTCGGGGTGCCTGGGTGGCTCAGTCGGTTAAGCTTCTGCCTTCGGCTCAGGTCAGGATCCCAGGGTCCTGGGATCGAGCCCCGCATCGGGCTCCCTGCTTCTCCCTCTCCTGCTGCTGCTCCCCCAGCTTGTACTCTCTCTGTCAAATAAATAAATAAATAAATAAAATAAAAATAAAAGGATGACAAACTCCTGTGTTGAAAATAGACTGCAGGGGACAGAGGTGGCAAGGGAGACCACTTAGGAGGCTGTTGCAGTAAACCAGGCAGGTAGGTAGGACTGCAGCAGGTTTTGGGGGAAGAAGACAGGTGTTCACTTTCAAACAAGTCAAGTTTGACATGCCTGTTAGCCAAACACCAGTTCATTATTTTCTCTTGGATGTCTGTCAGACTCTGAAGTTGAGGTGAAAGATCTGGGCTAGAGAAATTTGAATGGTACTGAAAACCACATGCTGGGTGAGCTCACCTAGGGAGTCAGTCTAGATAGAGAAGAGGTTGAGGCCTTTATAGTAGAGGTCAGAGATGGAGAGTAGCAAGCAGAGGAAGCTAAGCTAAGAAAGAGCCCCTAGTGAGGAAGAAAACGAGGATGCTGGAAAGATGCCAAGATGGAGTGATTAGCTGTGTCCAGGACTAAAAACTGAGAATGGCATTGGTCTTAGCAACATGGAGTTCTTTGGGGGGACCCCCAAACAACATAATATCCTTTTGGTAGTTTCAGTGGAGTGGTGGAGGATGAGGGTGAAAGTCTAAGATGTGTTTGGGAACTTGGGGATAGGGAGAGAGGAATTGGAGATAGCAATGTATAAATCTCAGCTTGCTTAAAGGGGAGCAGGGGTGGGGGCGCAGATAAATGGGATGGTTGCTGGAGGAGAATGTGGGATTGAGGGTTGGGACCCCTCCTCTCCAGGATGAGAGATATTTCAGCATCTGTTTGTATACTGATGAAATGATACAGTAGAAAGGGGGGGAAATTGCCTGAGTAATGTTCCCTAAAAGGCTAAAAGGAATGGAATCTGATCCATAGGTAATGGGTTGACCTTAGATAAGAACACGGTTCTTCCATGGTAACAGGAGGGAAGGCAGAGTGCATAGTCATAGATGTAAGTGGGTAGGTAGGTGTAGTGGTAGGAGCATGTGCAAAGTTTCTTCTGTTTGTTTTTTTTTGTTTTTTTGTTTTTTAGATTTTATTTATTTATTTGACAGAGCGAGTGATAGCGAGAGCAGGAACACAAGCGGGGGAATGGGAGAGGGAGAAGCAGGCCTCCCGCCGAGCAGGGAGCCCAACGCGGGACTCAATCCCAGGACCCTGGGATCATGACCTGAGCCGAAGGCAGACGCCCAACGACTGAGCCACCCAGGCGCCCTGTTTTTTTTTTTTTTTAAGATTTTATTCATCTGAGAGAGAGAGAAAGAACAAGTAGGGGGAAGGGCAGAGGGAGAAGCAGGCTCCCTGCTGAGCAGGGAGCCCGGACATGGGGCTCCATCCCAGGACTCTGGGATCATCACCTGAACCAAAGGCAGATGCTTAACCGACTGAGCCAACCAGGTGCCCCTTCTGGTTTGTTTCTTATTGGTGAAATAGAAAACAAGGACATCTGCTGTGAATGAGGGGAGGGAAGGAGAGAGAGGGGCATGAAGTGGTCCTCTGGGAACGTGGGAGAGTGAAGGGGGTGGGGAAGTGTGCTGGGATAACCAGCAGCATGAAAGGCTAACTCAGGATTAGGAGCCATACCCTCAAAGTGAGGTTAGCACAGTGTGTGTTCAGCTATGTGTTTGCAGTGCTGAGTAGTGGCAGCCTGGTGTTTAACCAAGGTTAGCTTTTTTAGGCATGTGGGGCATTAAGGGAGAGTGGGGCAGGGAAGCTAAGGGTGTAGGTCAGGGAGTGATTTTAACAGTGGACCATGAGCCTAAACTGGGTGTAGAGGGGATTAAGGAGCTCTAGAAAAAGAAGAAGAGGTTGTGTAGTCCTTTTACAAAATAGCATGACTGAAAGTAGAGAGTTAGGGAGACCATGAAGCTCTCTGGGACCTTCTTAGACTCAGGAATTTTGGCTCTGGTGTCCTCTTTTATCATTGGACTTTGAGCCACATCCTCCAAAAATGGCTTTTGAGCTTTTAAACAGTCCTTGCAGGTTTGGATCATTGATTAAGAAATTAAGTCATCAGGAAGCACGTATTGAAAGCCCTTTAACCTGTGCTGCTGCTTGGTGAGGTACGTAGAGATTTGTATTCTGGGAGCTGGCAGTCCAGCATACGGCAGTCGTACGGTAACCTGGTACATTCCTGACCCCGTGTCTCCCTGGCTTTAGCCATAAGAATCCTAGTCCTAAGGTGGCCTTTGATTCTACAAAGTTTAGGTTAAAAATGATTTTTTAACTTAGGGATTTTTTTTTTTTTAATATTTATTTATTTGACAGAGAGAGAGAGAACTCAAGCAGGGGGAGCAGCAGGCATAGGGAGAGGGAAAAGCAGGCTCCCTGCTGAGCAGAGCCCGATGTGGGGCTTGATCCCAGGACCCCGGGATCATGACCTGAGCCGAAGGCAGACGCGCTTAACCAACTGAGCCACCCAGGCGCCCCAGGGATTTTTTTTTTTAAGATTTTATTTATTCATTTGTCAGAGAGAGTGAGAGCGGCAGGCAGAGGGAGAAGCAGGCTCCCTGCTGAGGAAGGAGCCCAATGCCAGACTTGATCCCAGGACCCCAGGATCATGACCTGAACTGAAGGCAGATGCTTAACCAACTGAGCCACCCAGGCGTCCCAGGGATTTTTTTT